TTTCTTTCTTATCATATCTTTTGGCAGTAGTTTTAGGAATTTCGCCAGCGAAAGTCGATAGAAACGTGACTAATTTGTTAACTTTCCACACTAAGGTACTTATTTCTACACCATCGCAAGTACCAACAAACTCTACACTAGTTCCCCTTTCTTCATTTTTCATAGCGTTTTCATCCGGAAGCTTACAATTTTGAATCCTATTTCTTCTTACGATTCCTAAACTGTGAATACTTTGTTTGGAAAGATATACAATGAGAGGTATAAAAAAGTAATCATTGTTAAAATAAAGCCTATGACTCATACTCCTAGGAATAATTCTAGCCAACCTCGGATTGTCACGGGCATTCTCGTTATTATTGAAATATAAAAATTATCTGATTTTTTAGTACCTGTTGACCGACATAGCAATTTTTATTTTCTCAAAGCCAATTTCTTCTGACCAATATGCCCTTGTATTGGGCAAATGAACAAGGGAAATAAATATTGTAATTCCAGTAAACTGCGTTATGTCATTTCGTTTAATATTCAGTAGTTTGTTAGGATTCTGCTATGTAGCGTATAAATTTAACTAATCCACAATTTTGTCTAAAAGACTATTTGTGAAGAATATAATAATTGAACTTATCTGTTCGGATAAGTTAATTTTTTTTTCTCCGTACAATGTCTAAAAAAAATACATCTAGTATTTTTGATCACAAATTAATTGTAAAATAAGTATACCCTTGCCCTTGGAGTTTCTGGAGGCCCCTCCTCTACAGTGCTATTAACTATATTAGTGTCTACAGCATTCTCATCCATTTCGTTTAATGGTTCAGAAAATCAGAATCCTCATTATCAGACTCATCATATATACCAACTTGTTAGTCAGATAAGAAATCTGGATCGACAATATCATCATCATAAAACTCATCTTCGCTATCCCAAAGCCTATCTATTATATCGGCAAGTTCTTTGTCAGTCACCCGCCTTTTACCTTTACAACTGTCCCTACATTAGGCGCGTGGATATTACTTAATCGGTTAGGCGCCTGGGCTAAAATGGTAATTTAAATAAAAATTTAAACTTAAAAGTTAAACTAATAGTTTTATATTGGAATTGGACGATAGTATGAAAATAATACAAAATAAACACTGAAAACCTCTTAAATAATAAATAATGTATTTCAATTCATTTATAAGTTTGCGCCAAGGTACTCAAATTGCATAATAACCCTGTTTTCTGTATTAAAAAAAAACATATATAAGAACATTAAATGCAACATGCATTAGATAGTAATCTTAGGAGAAAACCAAAAAACGTAAATATTAATTTTACGTTAAAAATTTTTAATGGAAAATAGCCTAAATTTGCTGCATGCACTCTACACAGATCTCCCTCAAATGTTCTTTGCAGGCATATCTTTTACACTTTTCACATTGGTTTCCAGTTCATCTATCGCGTTTAAGATCACAAAATATACAATGTCTTACTACATTTTGACTTGTCTGAGGGGCCACATCTGTAATTATTAAAAGAGCACGGGATCGCCGACGAAGTTCTGAAGGGACTTATGGAATCTTAGATCTAAATTCAATTAGGAGTCTAATTAATTTCCCCAGGTTTTCTATAAAATCCTACCTTGCAACTCTTTTGTTAAAATTGTTAGATTTATAAATCTGTAAAGAATGTATTTCTGTTTTATTAAAGAGGTCATAAAAAATTGCCATTGGATATCGACGAGTGTTTCTCAACACTCATTATATCACATTATATTTTTCATACAATTGATCTAATCGGTCAACAGCAATTTTGTCCGAATATACATTGTAATGAGAAGCAGAAACTTCCAGAAGCAGCCAAAAAACAAATATAACCATATACAAAACCCTTATACAACCATTGTTTAAATATGGATCAGAGACATGGACCATTTCCAAGGCAGATGAAAACCTCCTGATTATATATAAAAGAAGGATCCTGACAAGAATATTCGGTGGTATCTGTATATTCGGAGTTTTGTATCTAATATCATTACCAAAAATAGATGTTCGTCTTCATATTGCAAATTTTGATTATATAGCGAAGACATTTTTTCAGTATTAAAACTATGTAAAGTTCGACGGTAAAACGAAAACTGTAGAAGGTATAAAGGTAAAAGTAAAAAATATGTAATTGCATACGGTCCGTCCCAAACCCTTTTTTCAGTGCGTCATAGTTGTTCGAATTCTCTCTAACGCATTAAGCTAGAAGTGACAGAAAAAAACGTGAGTCGCTTATTATTATACATAGAAATTAGAAAATTAGGTATCGTTTACGGGTATTCGCATATTAAAGCGAATTCTACTTACGAACGTATAATTGGTTGGAGTTTAGAATATGCTAAATAGATATCCAATCAATTATGCATATAAATATAATTTGACACAGATGATCTTGATAATGACATGACTTTCACAACAACTGATAAAATGATAATTGCCATTCCAGGTTAGTATTTTCAGACATTTTAACTACAGTGAAAATTAAATTCTGTATTTATTGTCATAAAAATATTTTAAATATTCCGAGATATACCGAGAATGAAAAAAGACTAATATTAAAATTATTAAATTAGTTTCAATTAGAAAATGAGGCTGAGTTATCTTTATTTCAGTTTCTGTCGCTCGCGAATCAGATTGTGAATTCCGGAATGATATTGAGGAAATATCTTAAACTAATACCTTTATGGATATTTATATGTATTAAAACGGTTCTTTTTAGAACCACGACATTTTCTTGAAATGTAGGATATAATTGATACCAGCCACATATCTAGTGTAATCATTGATTTTCAAGAATCAGATTCTGAATGGGATTATAGATTGTTTGAAATATAATATTCATTTTTGTTATTCATAAAAAAGAAGGTAAACTTACATTCTGTATCTTGTTTTTTAACTAAACTCCATTAACACGATTTCATCTGGATATCGGAACTGGTAGATTAACTCAAGAATCAACTGCTTCACTATTTAAACTATTTATATTGTTTTTTTTAACTAAACTTTATAACCTTCTTTCATTTGCACACCAAATCTGGTAGAATAACTCAAAAATCAACTGCTTCACTATTTAAACTATTTCCACTATTTAATGACAACTCTTCACAAAATTAAACTATTGGCTGCCACACAAACTTATCAGAAAATTCCTTATCCAAATATGACTGATTTAAATCGATATTATTTTATCGCAGGAATGTTTACTTTGATGCCTTGCAATTGTCAGTAATTTTTTTTACCTTGCAGTCAACTCTTAAAAGATTCTAGGAGGAAGCGTTATTTTAAATAAACAAACCTTCCAATTCCCTAGTGTTTGTAATAAATAATAATAAATCCATAAACAAATCTTAGCCAATTAAGCACTTTCCATGGAATGTATAAAATAGAACAGAATAGAATAGAATTATGACAAACTGCTATGCATTAAAAAAAATAACCTTTTCACGTTTAGCCGATTACGATCCTGCAACTGTCAGATTTAACTAAAATGTCATGCAATAATTCTCGACATTCTTAAAATCCTATATGACGTCAAAATTAGTGACGCACTGAAAAAAGGGTTTGGGACAAACTGTATCTGTGAAATAGTTTTTATCATATCAACAAAAATGAAGACGCTGAGATCAGCGTCTACATTCGCCGGTATTTTAAAGCTTCCAAACATATCAACTAATTGCCGTAGTGTTACTATTACTACTTAGAACCATCGCCAGTGGCGTATCATGAGTAATTTAACACGACTGGTCAAATTATAAAAAATATATAAAAATAACATATTCTCAAAGATTCAACAGATATCGCAACCGCGGATACATGAAACCGTGGTTGATGAGTCCGCGGACAACGAGAGATTACTGTATGCATTTTTTAAATCAAATAAAAGCTAATTTTTTTATTAATATGCTATCTATAACCTCGCGTTTTAACAGCTGGCAACCATAATTTAACCAAGAAAAATATTAGCTTTAATTTGATATTTGATATATAAAATACGCAAGTCATGAGCGTATTTTATTTAAAAATTAAATAAATTTAAAAAAATTAATACTTAATAATTATAATATAATAATAATAATTTATTAATAATTTTAAAATATTTTCGGCCAAGTTTTGAATGGCAAGGAATTATCATTCCTCCAGTAAAAAAACTCGACAAACCTTCAATAGAGCCATCCTCTTATAGACCGATCTTATTAACATGTTGTATGTCCAAATTAATAGAAAAACTAATCAATAATAAACTGGTTTTTTGAAAAGCACAATATAATTAGCTCTGTTCAATTGAGAATTTCAATAAGCAACGTAATATAGTTGTGGAAGCCTTCGATATTGAAAGCGCCTTCGATATTGAAAGCACCTTCGATACTATTCCAAAGAATGTAATATTACAGCAACTTATCGATAAAAATATTACAGGCAATATTTACACGTTCATAGATATTAATTGAATTAAAAATATGTTCGGCCAAGTTTTGGATGGCAAGCTATTATCAATGTATCCTTTTAATTTTAAATGTATGTAAAAATGTAAGTTTGATTAACTACGGTATGAATGTAGTGATTCTTCAGTGGGCAGTATAAGGTATTCAATGTGTTTATCCTGGAGAGCGATTGTTTAAACAACTATGTTTGCCCAAACAGTCACTCTAGAGGTATTCTGTAAATCGCAAATACTTTTCTTTATTTTCTGATTATCTTCTGATTATTCTCCATATTTCTCTTTGCGTTACTTAGAAGTGTTGTTCCATCTGTTTTAAGAAGAACTCCAATTATTTCCTTTTTATTTTTCTGACTATCTTTCTGGAGTATTTGTTTTATTTCGAATTCATTTACAGCTTTTATAGTTTTTTACTTTATACGTTACGTTACGTATTTTTTAATAAAATATGTTCTTAAGTATATTTTGTTTAATTCCCAAAATAATAATATTCTATAAATATAATGACGATTTTTATATTTTATTTTGTTTTATTATTATAGGCACCCATTCCAGCTCTTAACGTTCCAATAGTTTGGATTTTGGGTGGACCAGGTTCAGGTAAAGGCACCCAGTGTGATAAAATAGTCGAAAAATATGGATTTACTCACTTATCCAGTGGAGATCTTCTCCGAGCAGAGGTAAGTCTATATTTTCACATTTATTATCGGTTCTGTGTTTCTAATCATCTACTCAATGATTTGGTTAAGACGACTCAATTGATTTGTTGTATAAAATTATTGTTCTAATCAGTTAATGTTGAATGTAAATTCATTTATAATATTTGAAAATTTCTAAAGTTTCATTTAAGTTTTTTCTTCCTTCAGATTAATTCCTTCGTCCACTAATAAATATGTCATCATCATAATATAACGAGGGTCCTACGGCGATTGCCGCTTCCCGCATTTCAGCCTCCATCTTTTCCTATCTCTCCAATCTCCCTCTTCTAAGCCTCTAGATTGCATTGTTTTTGTAATTTTTCTTCTCCAGGAATTTGGTGGTCTTCCCAATTTCCTTCTTTCTGCCGAAACATACATTAAGGCTTTCTTTGGCCACCGCTCCTCCTCCATTCTCATCACGTGACCATAGCATTGTAATTGCCTTCCTTGTATTCTATCTGAAAGAGTATCTCTAACTCCTGTACGGTTTCGTATTTCCTCATTCCTGATTCTTTCCATTCTCGATACTCGACACGACCTTCTAAGATAATCCATTTCCACAACGTCTACTTTATCTCGATCATTCTTTGTCATCGTCCAACATTCGGCACCATATGTGGTAATCGGTTCTACAATTGCTCTGTATACACGAAGTTTGGTATGCATCTTTATTGTATTAGACCACAGTAATGAATTCAGTATTCGGATGCATTTTTTCCTTTGTGTTATTCGGTTTTGTACATCTATCTTAACTCTGCCATCTGCTGATATGATGCTTCCTAGATATTTATACTGGTTGCAACCTTTTATGACTGCATTTTCAAGCCTCAGATCTGTGGTATTTCCTCCAATTTTTAAATGTTCTGTTTTGCTTATGTTTACAGTAAGCCCCCATTTGGCATATTCCTCAAATCATTTTCGATTCATATAATTTATATCTTCCTCATCGGTTGCAACCACCACCTGATCATCTGCAAACAACAATGTATACAGAGTTTCTTGTCCCACTTCGATGCCCATAAATCTACATTTATTTCTCCAATTTCTCAATGCTTCTTGGACTTATATTTTAAAGAGTGTCGGTGACAAACAGTATCCTTGCTTTAGGCCTTTAGTGCTTTTAAATTTATTTGAATTTCTGGTTCCAATTTTTACACAACTAACTGCATTTTCGTACAATTTATATATCGCTCGGATATACGTCGAATCCAATCCGGACCTTTCGAGGACCTCAAACATTTTCTTTAACGGGACACTATCATTATGCTTTCTCAAGGTCTATAAATACCAAATGAGCCTCTCTACTTCTTTCGACACGCGTTTCAATTATTTGTCGTAGGTTAAATATATTATCAAGGCAGGATCTCTCGGTACGAAAGCCGCTTTGTTCTTCAATATCTTGTGTCTGTCTTTCAACCCTCTTCTTTAATATTCTGCCGTATAGAGAAGAAGAGCTCACAGAGCTCGTCACACTAATACCTCTATATATGGAGCTCATATAAGATTTATAATAAATATGTAACGTCCGCTAATCATATGATTACGCGTGTCCTTTTACGCGTGTTTTAATAATACGGATTTGTCACCCCTCTGAAAAACTGTACATCTCAACGTTTAACGTAACATATTTGTCTAACGACAAGAAACTTTATGACTTGGAAGAAATGGGACATCATTGGACTATCAAAGATAAAAGGGAAAGGAGAGGACTGCTTATCATTAGAATCTGGAAATATACTATATTTAAAATGCATTAAAATTAAATTGCTTCAATTATGGCAACTCATTTTCATAATAAAAGCAAAAACGACAACTAAAGAAATAATCTTACTCCCTTTCGAAGAAAGATAAAGATTTTCCTTCTACTACAGATCTTTCAGATGACCTTCTCGATTTAAACGCACCTTTTGCTTTTCAAGAGCTTTCCCTTGCTGTATCTACCTTAAAAAATTCTGCAGCAGAAATTGACAATAAACCCTCAAATAAATTCCTCAAAAATTTAGCCATCAATGGACTCACAAAATGACTTTCATTTTATAATCTTCTTTGGATCAACGAAAAGTTTTCCAACCTGTGGAGACAATCCATCACTCCTCCAATAAAAAACTCGACAAACCTTCAATAGAGCCATCCTCTTATAGACCGATGTTATTAACATGTTGCATGTGGAAATTAATGGAAAAACTAATCAATAATAAACTGGTTTTCTGAAAAGCACAATATAATTAGCTCTGTTCAATTGGGATTCCGACCACATCGAAGCGCAATGGACAATTTAGTATTACTACAAAACCATATAACCGAGAATTTCAATAAGCAACATGATACAGTTGTGGCAGGCTTCAATATTGAAAGCGCCTTCGATATTGAAAGCGCCTTCGATACTATTCCAAAGAATGTAATATTACAGAAATTTATCGATAATAATATTACAGGCAATATTTACACGTTCATAGATAACTTTTTAAATCACCGTAAATTTGAAGTTGCAATAAACGGTAATGAGTCAAATGTTCTCGAACAACACAATGGTGTACCTACTGTTTTAAATCCAACTCTGTTTAACTTAGCAATTAATGACATCTCAAAAGAAGTTTGTCAACCGGTAAAAGCTCTACTGTACTAACTAACTGTAAACGACGTATATTCTTGGTCCACACAACACGGCATCAAACTTTCTAGCTCAAAATCTAGGATACTAAGATTTACCAAAAAGCAAAGTGTTCAAAACCCGGAAATATCATTATCTAAATGATGTTTTTTTACCTACAGTAAATCATCATAAAATCTTGGGGCTAATATTCGAGATCAGAAGTTAAATGGAAAATACACTTAAAAAATCTAAAGGGCAACTGTGCTGGTAAACTAAACATATTAAAAACACTTGCACAGCATTAATGGGAAGCTGAAGAAAATATGTTATTGAGAATCTATAGATCTCTTATTTGCTCTAGATTAAATTGCATGCTCTACATGACCACCTGTAATACTTATCTTAAATCCTTTAATCCAATATAAACGACTTCCTTACGTATATGTCTTGGTAAAGTTCGATCTAGCCCCGTCGAAAGCATGTTGAAGCTTTAAAACCTTTTCATACGACGTCATCTTTTACTCCCTTTATATTTCCGCCAACACAAAAACCCAGTTATTAAGGTCATTAACATCCACCACGCTCCTGAAAATAGAGACAAATCTGTTTAGCCCCTTCCACAATTAGTAAATCCTTTGATAGCAGCTATTGACCTGAATATAACTACCTCCATCAGTACTTCCAATATTTCTTTATGGACCAATAAGCTACCTGCTTTCAATACTAGACTAACTCGACCTAAAAAAGAAGACACTTCTAACCACCTCCTTAGACAAATATTTCAAGAAGCAATAAATGCAAAACAGTACAATCAAGTTCTTTATACCGACGCATCTAAAGATAATAAGAATACTGGCTGTGCTGTCAGCATCGAAAACATAGCCTTAGCTCTTCACCGTCTACCAACCACTTGTAGTATTCACACTGCCGAATTATACGGTATCTTGAAAGGACTTCTCCTAATACGAAATCTGTAGCTATATGCACCTAATCTCCTTCTTCATTTCTGTTCATTGCCAACATATACTTGTTAAATCCGATAGTCCAAAAAATTCAATACATCTGTGTTGAATTTTTTAGAGGACACACAAAGTGTGTTCTCTAGTCCTCTAGTAGCGCTGTAGTTTAATAATTTTATAACACCCCTACTTCAAAGCAATAAATAATGGGTTAAAAAACTTTTTAAGCAATTATTTTTGTTAATATATAAAAATATAATTGACCAACAAGAGAATTGCTTTAAACTTAGATCCTCATGAGTTTTAGAAAAACAGTTTTGGCCCTCTGAACTTTATACAAATTTAAGAATTTTTATAAAAAATTAAATGTATCTTAAAAAATAATTAATCCATCGAATCTTAGGAAGTCTTATTCGATTTGTAATTAAAAAAACTAAAATATAATGCATCTTGCTTAAAAAAAATTTTTTTCAGAAAGTTATTTCATGAATTAAAAATTGCGAAAAAATATTTTTGGACTTTTAAGCGTTAATTCTGCATAAACTATTGGGTCAAATTTAATTTAGCACACATCAAATTAAAGCTTTTATACGTACTTTCATTCAATATTGTGCTCATTGTAAGCTAAAATATTGATTTGATACAATAAGAATAAAAATAATTAAAAAACACCGTTTTTGCACCTTAAAAGTGCCATAAAAGGTTGAAGTTGCAAACACTTAAAAGTTGCTCCAGGAATTGCTCTTTATAACGCTGTACTGTTTTCAAAAATTCAGTAATTAATGCTCAAATTCATTAATTTTGTCCCTATAGCTTGGACTAATGGTTTAACCATAGATAAATAATATAGTATGGTTTAACTGTGTAAAAACGTTAAAAAAATAGTTGACCAGAGATCCATTAGAATAATTACCACTACAAAGAAGGAAAAGAGAATAATTCAGAATTTTACGAAAACAAGCATCAAACTATTCTTGGCTTCTGAGGGACTTTCCATGACTACAGAAGATCTGCGAAAAATTTATTTGAAATTTCATGATGCCTATGGAATTGGTCCAGCTGAGGTAGACGAAGATCTAGCTGCGTTTAGGTCCTTTATCGCTGCTGAAAGAATTATCCATCTGCAAAGATCAAGGGAATGTCATACAAATTACTTTTCCACCACTTCTCCAAGACGAAATTTTTAAATGTTTCGACGTGTTCTGAGGGTCTAGAATCCTCAAATTTAACTGCTAGCAACTTTGGCATGGTTCTTATTAATATTCGATCGATTAGAAATAAGACAGACGAATTATTTTTGTTCCTGGAAGAATTAGGGTTTCCCCAGATAGTTGCAGTGACGGAACACTGGCTTGAAGTTAATGAACCAATTTTCATTCAAGAATATACCACAATTGCTAGGTATGATCGTCCAAGTTCAGCTCATGGTGGCACTCTGATTCTTTCAAATAACAATGATTTTTCTTCAGTTTCGAAATATGACTATTTGCTGGGTGAAAACTACTTCGAATTTTCTTTGATTTTTAATAAGAAATTTAATCTATACATTATTTGCATTTATAGATCACCTAGCTCTGATACTGAACTATTTTTTCAGAGCCTGCTAAATTTGTTAGATATTCTGCCTATTAAAAGCAGAAAAATTTTATGTGGTGATTTTAATATTGACTACGCTGCTGTTTGTGCGACCCAACTGTCTTTGGTAACTATTTTTGAATCATATGGTCTCACAATGCACGTTAATTCTCCAACAAGAATCTCAAAAACATCATCCTCGACAATTGATTATGTGGTTTCCGATTTTCCACCCGCTGACGTCCATTCTACAGTTATTAGTGGGGGGCTTTCTGATCATGAAACGGTATATACCAAGTTTAGCAGTTTACAAACACCTCACTCAAAAACCCGACGATTAGGTAGGATTTTTTCCACTCAAAACTTTCGTAAATTCTATAATTCATGCTTGACTTCTGACTGGAGTTTTTCTTCTGGAGACATTGACTGTAATGTTAGTGATTTTCTAAATAGACTTGTATCTATTTTTAATAAAGCATTTCCTCTATTAAACATCAGGCCAAAACATAATAAACCTTGGATTACCAAAGGCATTCGCATATCTGCGAAAAATATGCGGTCTCTGCTATATATTAAAAAATTTAATGACAGTATCCCCATCTCTGATTATATCAACAAGTACAGAAAATGCTATATAAAACTACTCAAAGTAGCCAAAAAATCCTACTTTCATAATCGCTTAACAAGCTCCAAAAATATTTCAAAAGAAACATGGTCAATAATAAACGATTTTCGAAATAAAACCAGTACAGCGGATCAAACCTTTTCTTTTCCTAACCCCGAAAATCTAAATTATTACTTTGTTAATGTGAGTAAAAATATAACCTCAACTATTTCGCCACATCAAGATCCAGTTTCCTATCTCTCTAATTCAAAAAACATTGCTGATACCTTCTTTTTAAGACCAGTTGATAAGACGGAACTCATTTCAACAATTCGTAGTATAAAAAGCACATCGTCCTGTAGTACAGATGGATTATCTATTAAAATTTTCTCAAATCTACCGCATAATGTTTTGGACGTCATGGTCTCGCTAGTAAATGATTCCCTTGAAAAAGGTACATTCCCTAACTGCCTAAAGACTGCCATCGTCATTCCTCTTCATAAAGGTGGAGAAAAATCTGATGCCTGCAACTATAGACCTATTGCCTTGTTACCAGCACTATCAAAAATTATTGAAAGACTTATAAAAGTTCGACTTATGCCCTTTCTCCTTAAATATAATATTTTATCGCAAAATCAGTTCGGCTTTTTGTCTAATAAATGCACTAGTGATGCCATATTTTCTGTGTTACATGATGTATATCTATCACTAAACAGTAACCTCTCCTCCGCCACCGTTTTCTGCGACTATTCCAAAGCCTTTGACTGCGTAAATCACGACATTCTATTAAAAAAATTAACTTTCTATGGAATTCGGGGTGTGTCTTTGAACTGGTTCAAAACTTACTTGGTAGGTAGGAAACAATTGGTTAGAATAAATGACACCGACTCTAGTTGTAAAGATATTGAGTGTGGAGTACCGCAAGGTTCAGTATTAGGTCCCATTCTTTTTTTACTTTTCATTAATGACATCACTTACTTAAAAATTAAAGGGAAAATTTTTCTATTTGCTGATGATACCAGTATTACATGGAGCAGCTCTGATATTTCAACGCTTCATTCAATTATAACCGATGATTTACTTATAATCAAGGCTTGGTCAGACTCCAACTTACTTAGCTTTAACGTGGATAAGACTGTAGCATTATCTTATAAAGGAGTCATGCAACCCTTGCTTTTGAATGAGAGCCAAATCAATATCGTAAATTCCGTGAAATTTCTAGGTATTCTCATTGACAGTGATCTCAAATGGTCCTTGCATACTGACTCCTTAAGGAAGAAACTAGCCTCAGCTTGCTTTGCAATAAGATCTGTTTCGAAGGAACTAAATTTATCTTCTGCCAAAATGGCATATTTCTCATTGTTCGAGTCCCATCTTCGATATGGGCTTCCATTTTGGGGTTCTAGTACAGCGGCCCAATTTGATACTATTTTTAAGTTGCAAAAAAGAGCAATCCGTTATCTATTTGGTCTCAAACAAACAACTCATTGCAAGACTTACTTCAAAAATCACGGAATTTTGACGCTTCCCTCTTTATTTATTTTGGAAACGGTTTGTTTGATTCGAAAGCATCTAAACATTTTTCCCGATAGACCTGACCATGGCTACTCCATTAGAAATTCGGATTGTAACGTTTATTTGCCGATCCCGTCCACTCAGCTAGTAAAGAATTCTATTCTATATCGTGCAAAGAAACTTTATAATCACCTTCCAAGAGAAATTAAATCCGCAACATCCTTCATTAAGTTTCGTAAGGTGACAAAAATCTATCTCTCAGAAAGACCATATTACTCAGTTGACGAGTTTCTTAATGTATAACAAAGAAACAAAATTAGTATTGTTTATAATTACATTTGGGTGTCTCAAGCAGTGGCTACAATTTGTCTCATTTGTTGTTGTTTGTACAAATTATGTAGGTTATACAATAATTTTACTAATTTAAAATTGTGTTATTTTGTTTTTTACTATATTGTTTTTGTTTTATACTTTTTGTATTATTTGACTGATTTATTTTTTAGCTTTGTCCATAAAATTGTTCAATAATTTTCAGTGACAATAAAGCATATTTCTATTCTATTCTATTCTAAGGCAGTGAAAAGATAATATTTAAGATGCGATAGTTGCAAGGCTAATAAAATAAAACCTATAGCTTTCGACAATATTTTTTTACTTTTTCTTGTTCATGTACCAGAACACGTTGTTAGTTAGCATAACATATTTTACGTGTATTCACAACCACTATGAACAGCATGTTTGTATCAATACCATACTCATCTCGCAACTTCTTCAACCATGAAGTCTGTCTTCGCCCTGAAGGAAGGAGGGTGATGAATAGGGACGACTAGAAAGAAATTATTAAGGAAGCTAGAACACACAGGGCTGTTAAGCCAAAATGATGATGATGATGAATCTATAATTTTTGGTATTACCACCGATTATAATTGTTACGATTTTAATTTAACAAGTTTAATCTCTCTTTACACTCTAAATTAATTTAATTTTTTTTAGGTTGAAAGTGGAAGCGAACGGGGAAAAGAACTTACCGCGATAATGGAACGCGGTGAACTAGTTCCCATGCAGATAGTACTAGAGCTCATTAGAAACGCTATCGTTAAAGCCCTGCCAACATCGAAGGGATTTCTCATTGACGGATATCCCAGAGAAAGGGACCAAGGAGTTTTGTTCGAGGAAAACGTAGCACCCGTTAACATGATTATATTTTTCGAAGCGTCAGAACAAACTCTGATCGATAGATTGTTGGGAAGGGCGAAAACTTCAGGAAGAGTCGATGACAACCTTGAAACGATTAAAAAGAGGTTGAATACCTTCAATACCTATACCAATGCGATTTTGGAACACTACGCTAGCAAGTTGGTCAAGGTGAGGAATACTAATGATTGCATTCATTTCTGTTTAACTGTTCTTCTTTTTTTCGTTTATTAGATTTGTTGTACGTTCCTTTTTCCTAACCTTCTTTTTTTTCTTAGGATCTTTTCTCTTTAACTTTATATATAATATGCATTCGGTTTATTTAGACAAATTAAATGAAGTTTTTAGATCTGGTATGTCACCGTTTGTATGTAATATTATAGTTACAGTTTTTTTCACGTTGTTTTTTATGTGTATAAAGGGTACAAGTGACTATCTACTTCATTCTTAACATTACAAAATGCAAAACTGGAATTTTAAAACTGACATACCAGTATATACCTGATTAATTAACAAAATTAATCATTAACATCATTAATCAGCCCTGATTTGTCCATTGTTGAACATAAACCTCCTCCAGATATTTCCATCTATTTTTGAGTATGCCTCTGCTGTCCAACTGGTCACAATTCCACTTTAATCGTTTAAATACTTCACTCCATAGTCATTCCATGATTGTTATTAATAGTTTTGGCAACAAAGTATCTTGTTCTCGCACCTTCTTCAAGTGCCATCTTCGCGGCGAAGATCGGTAATTATTATACCTAGTCAGACTTTTGAGACGGCTGCTCTGAAAAGTTCATTTGATGTACATCCGTATCACTTTTTCAGGTTGCGTAGCCATGACATTCTACGCCTCCCTCTTCTTCTCTTGCCTTGGATCTTTCCCTGCATAATCAGTTGGAGCAAGGTGTATTTCTCTACACGTGTAATATGTCCAAGATACTCCAATTTTCTTGTTTTAATTGTATTTAAAATTTCTATTTCTTTATTCATCTTTCTCACAACCCCTTTTTTTGTGAAGTGTTCTGTCCACGATATTTTCAGAATTCTTCTATGCACCCAGAGCTGTAATGATTCCAGTTTTTTCATTGATGTCGCATTTAATGCCCAAGATTCCATTCCATAAAACAAAGTCCAAAAACATAGCACCTCGCCAACCGAACTCTTAGTTTCAGTTTTAAATCTCTTGTGCATAGCACTTTTCTTATTTTGTTGAAATTTGCTCTAACCTTTTCTATTCTGATTTTGATGCCCTAAATGGAATCATTTGTAAAGTTAATCATTGTTGCGAGATATGGATATTTGTCCACTTGTTCGATGTTAATTCCGTTTATTAGAAGATTCTCGTTATTTCTTTGAGTTTTCGATATTCTTATAAATTTCGTCTTCTTCACATTTATTGTTAGACCGTACTGTTTTCCATACTCCGCTATTCTGGTCACCAGTCTCTGAAGATCTTCAATATTTTCGTCTAAGATCACAGTGTCGTCCGCATATCTAATGTTGTTATGGAAACTCATTTACCTTTATTCCAGCTGTTTCACCCTCAAGAGCTTTTTTCAGGATCTCTTTGAAGTAGGCATTAAAAAGAATGGGCGACAATACCCATCCCTGTCTGACTCCACGTCTAATTTCAATTTCTTCCGACAGCTGTTCGTTAGGAAGTACTTTTGCTCGCTGTTTATAGTACAAACTTAATATTATCCTGAGTCGTTGTATCTTCTTTGACATTGTATCTATTTCAAGACATTCATTAATTGTTCATTTTGTACTTTATCGAATGCTTTATTATACATCATATTTTTATATACATACATATGTTGATATACAATATATACATATTTTAGTATTATCGCACCACTCTGCCAATATTTATTTTCTCAGACATGCAATGAAGGTTTACAGTTGTTTATGCATTTTTGTATAAGCGAGAGAACATAACATACCAATGTTGCTCTGTTTTGTAGATTACACAAAGGCTTTTGAATCAGTAAAATGGGATCCTCTTTAAAGTATAATGGAAAATATGGGAGTACCTAACCACCTAGTTAACCTAATAAGAAATCTGTATAATAAAAACTCAGCCAAAGTTAAAGTACATGGAATGTATTCAAATGCATTCAAAACAGAGAAAGGAACTAGACAAGGTTGCATACTATCACCATTATTGTACAACATATATTCCGAATATATAATGAGAAAAGTACTAGATGAATGGGATGGAGGAATCACTATAGGAGGCATAAAAATCAGTAACCTGCGATACGCAGATGACACACTTATACTAGCAGCAAATGAAGTCGAAATGATTACCATCATCGAACGGCTAAGCCGAATAAGTGAAGAATTCGGACTTCAAATCAACACCGGAAAAACAAAAATAATGATTGTAGACAGAGCAAATAATAATCTACCGCATATACGCCAAATAGGGATTTTCGAAGTAGTCGACAGATTTGTATACTTGGGCTCTCTGATAACCAACAATGGTGATTGTTCCTCAGAAATCAAACGTAGACTAGGAATGGCCCGAACCGCAACTGCTAAATTAATTAAAATATGGAAAGACCGAACAATAACAAGGAATACTAAGCTCAGGTTGTTCAATGCCCTTATTTTTCCCATTGCTACATACGCAGCTGAAACATGGACTCTCAAAAAAATCGATAGGAGTAAGATCGAAGCCTTCGAAATGTGAATATATAGAAGAATTCTACGCGTGTCCTGGACAGAACATAGAACCAACCTGTCAATTCTGGAAGAGCTTCATATAAAAGACAGGCTACTAAAAAAAGTAAACCAAGCATACCTAACTTACTTCGGCCACATAGCTAGAAGAACGGGCACCATGGAACTATTGGTAGTAGAAGGAAAGGTAGAAGGCCGAAGACCAAGAAGAAGATCTCCAATACGATGGGTAGACCAAATAAAGAGTTTGGTGGGAAAATCCCTACATGAAGCCGTCCATATGGCACAAGATCGCAGTCAATGGAGACAGCAGACTAACAATATTTAGGGTGTCACTACGCCCTGACAAGGGCTAAAGGATTGAGGAGGATGCATTTTTGTATATATTGCAACTAATATTCGCATACCTGGGGTCTATTCTGCACTCTGATATGTATCAGCTTGGAAAGGTACTATAGGCCTGTATCTGGCTACCTATGTCCTAATCTAACCAGTATTTTGGTCAGGTTTTATCGCAGTCTATAATATCCCACTCTCGTCTTCCCCTTATAATGATAGAGGTAGAAGATCCAGTGGAACCTTTATAATTGTTGTTGATGTGCCCCTCAGAACCCCTTTATTTCAACACCAAGCGTTTCTTCTCCTAAAATACAATTCCTTTTTTGCAAATTTTTTCGTGCGGTCGATATTTTCCTAGTTACGGGGAGAAATGGAAGAGGAGGAGCATTGAAATATTGAATTAATTCGTTTATTATTAAACGAATTAATTCGTTTGAAGGGAGTTATATCTTATACAATTTTGATCTCTTCATCTTTACTCTGATTCAAAGGTCGAAGCAGTATCCAGCAGTACATACCGGATATAATAAACCTATCAAACGTGGCTACAAATTATGGGTTGGAGCAGATTCAAGCGGATTCATGTACGAGAGATATGTATCAGTAAAGTGGAAAATTCTACCAAAAAAAAAACTTAGGAGGAGTCGTACAAGATCTAACAAGGGTCTTAGGTATTAAACACCACCGAGTGTTCTTTGACAACTATTTCAACTCTATTAATTTTCAGATAACTTTATTAACCCCCTCTGTGGCTCAGTGGTAAGAGCGCCTACCTTTAAACCTAAAGGTCGTGAGTTCGAATCTCACATGTGTGGAGAAATTTTCGTTTATTAAAAAAATTAATGAATGAAAATAATTTCTATCCTTGTGCGATCGGTACTCACCGGAGGGACCGCAGACGTTCGGATACAATTAGCGTCTCTTAGCAAAGACAATGACGTCGACTTTGCTAAGTATCAAGACAATTACTCTACACACACACACACTACATTAATAAACTTATCTTGATCGAGACTGGCTGAATGACAATTGTCCAAGCCAAAACACACACACACACAGATAACTTTATTGTCGGGCGAAATTTACGCAAGTGCAACCGTTAAAAAAAAGAAATGATTTACCAAGTTCAAAACTGACAAACAAATGAATCGAGGAGATTCAGATTACCATATTTCAACAGATGGACTATCTGCGTTGAAATAGATGGATCGCAGAAGTGTGACTCTTTAAGCAAATCAACAAAATCCAGCAACAAACGAAGTTGTAAAGAGAAGACAAAAAGATGCTACTAGGTTTCATGTCCACAAATCGTAGTGCTCTACAATCACACTAGTGGTGAAATAGAATATTTTTTTTTATTTTGTGGATGCTTGCTTCGTAAATGCATTCATTCTATTTCAACTTAAAAGAAAATTAAAAAGTATGTCTTTGAAATAATTCCGGCTTTTTGTGATTAGAAGCCTTATTGGAGCTCCAGAACAATTAAAAAAGGGAAGACCATCAGCAGAAAAACCAGTGAGTCAATTCAAAAGGTATATTCCCTTGGAACTGCGCCATTCTGACTTCTCATAGCTCCAAAGAACTACTTCTTTGAGATGTGCCAACTGCAGCACGACAGAACATGTTAGCAGAACACAATGGAAATATTCATCTTACATTGTCAGACTTTGTCTCAAATACCACAAAAATTGTTTTGCAACGTTCCATGCAGAACAGTAGAAAGAACAGAAAGAAAGAAGTGCTACCTGGTTTTTATTTTTCATTTAATTTTTCGTTACGCTATGTTCCTGCTGGCATCTTGAGAATCCCACATTCTGTAGGATATACTTTAGGATCAGCATTGTTTATTTTGACGAATTTTTTTAAATTAATAAAAATCTGGCTTAAAAGTTTTAAGGATTTAAGAAGGAGATTGAGCTGACAATGACATCTGTTGGCCGTGTTATTTGATATTGGAACTGGAAATTTTCAGTACCTTGAAGTTGGTCATAGAAAGCTTCATACTCTTTCTTGTTGGTTTGCTAATCTCTGCATTGTACAGAGAAATAATGTAAAGTCTATTTTTGTGGCACTTGCATTGATTTTGTCTATGTTCTGATATTTATTAAATTTCTATTCTGGAAAAAAATGTTTACTAATTTCTTTGTTCATTATTTTTCTTAAGTTAGTGTCAATAATTAATAGAATAAGAAATATATCGATAATTTTTTATTTCCCTTCCACTTGTCGCAAATTCAGTCAATGTAACTGAAATATAATTTCCTAATATTGTTCTGAAGCTATTTTCTTGTGGCATTGTAAATTAATTACTATTAAACTGGGAATAAGCCACAATTAAAGATATAAATAAAAAAAAACATATAAAATCAGAATTTTGGTGTTTATTGAAGGTAAACTAAATCCACGAACAAATACTTACCATGGACGGATAGTATTATGAGGTTTTTTTCCTGGTTTTTCCCTTATAATTTACTATGGAATCACTAACAGGAGAATTTTACTGTCATAATGTCATGTATTTGTCTTTTTAAAGACGAATTACATGCTATGATTTTTTTCTGACGGATATTCTCAAGTTAAAGTGGATTTCATGTAATCGAATGAACTATCTTATAAGTAAAGTCGTCCCAGGAGCGCAACTCAACAATATTGGCAATATCATTTTAAAGTCGTCTACTTTAAAATGCATAATGTATGTCTGAATTGTCAATATAAATGAGTCAGATAAAATTAAATTATTAAAAGAATTTTTCACTATGTAACAAAAAACAAAATTTGTTTAATTTACCGTTTGTATTTTGAGAACGATTTCCGAAGTGGAAATTGAAACGTCAATAAACGTATTTATATCTTTAATTGTGGCTTATTCCCAGTTTAATAGTAATTAATATAATTTCTTTTTTAAAATGTTGGATTTTTTTTTAGATCAATGCAGAACGAACAACAGATGAAATTTTTGCCGAAGTGACATCAGTTCTGGACACTCTGGTGGCTTAATTTGTTAAGTCGTTAAGGTATAAGTACAATTATTAAAATTCAACACCAAATGTTATTTTAGGGCAAAAATGAAATGTTTATTTTTAAATTAAGACTTTATTTATTGCAAATATATTTTTATTCTTAATGATGGCATTTTATATTTTGTGTTGAGGTCAGCAAGGGTTGTTAGATATTTATATGGTCTAACGCAGATAGGACAAATTGGTCATCTATAACTAGGTTAAATAATAAAGTACTAGGACAATATGTTACATATTCTAATTTTGTAACAATATAATTTGCTTATAGGGGGTTAAAAGGGGGTACTGAACAAATACTGGGCTTGGAGATAGGCCACGCAAGAAAGTTGAAACGATTTCGAAGGGCTACTTGTGGTTTGATTGGAGAGCAGGGTCTTGGATAAGGATTTCTTTTTGGGGGATTGGGAGCACTAACTCCGAAAAATAAATTAAGAAATAATTACAGAAATGTTTTGGGTAAATACTAAACAAGAAGATTTCTAAACCGTTTAAAATTAGGATGCCGTTTAAAAGAATCCTCTTGCTGCTTTTAATGAAAGGTTTAGGGTTTTTTTTTTCCTTAAAAATTTTAAGAGTGAATATCTTTTAAAAGAAACAATGTTCTAAATACCTAGTGTTCTAAATAAAAGAAAAAAATCACATGTTTATTTTTATTTCACATAAACAGTTATTACAAAAAAAAATTAAATCTATCAAGAAAACATGACATTGAACCTTTTAAGAAAATACACTTTAAAACTATGGCAGAAAAAGATCTACTAACTGTCATATGTCAAAATCAACTACCAACTCTTTCTGAATTATTAATTATTGATTCTCAAAAGTTAATTCCATTTAAAAGAAACTAAAATATGACAATTAGCTGATACATAAAACTTATATTTAGTTATAAACTTTTTAAATGATTATGAGAGCAATTCTTAGTGTATTAACGACAAATGTTTACTAAGAAAAAATTCATTCATAACAAAACACTCATTCACTGATTTCGCTTGTTCCTTCTTTTTAATATATTAAAAAAGTTCTTTACCTTACAATTGAACAAAAAACATTATACCACAAACTTCAAATAATCTAGATTCGACCCTTGGGAGGTACATAATGGAACCTGGACAAGTTAGGGAGAAATTAAATCAAATACCAAAACTGAACTTCTTCTAACTTCTTCTAACTCGGCTGCTTATTTTCCACAGAACCATGTCGGCTTACTTAACGCTCAGAACGCTGTTATTAAATCCCTTGCCACAGGAGACAGCTTATAACAAACGGTGATTAACTTACATTATAAAGATTGTCACATGTCATTTTAAACTTAAATCACCTTCTTCTCACCAAAACTCATGGAATTAAGGAAAACTTTGCTGGTTTTTCAAAAATCATGCCAGTGTATTATTAGTGATATTATGCCATTAGTCCTGCTACAGACAAGGGCATACTGGGATTATTACATATTATTAACTTAAGAGGTTAAATAATGCAACATGTATTTTTTTTTTAACTAAGTCTTGTTAATTGGTAATCTTTGTTTCAGTCATGTAAGAATAGTGCTGTAATAAATACACGTTAACATTGAAAATACATTAAAATTTATAAAAATATAGAATTTAACTTCTGTACAAAATAATATATACTCTCTATATCCGAAAATATGATATACATTTATATGTACAAATATTCAGAACGTAAGTTTTTAGTTCGCCACCAAACATTTTTCAGGGTTCAGGGCCCGACCACGTGAGGCGCTGAAAGCTCTTCCTATTTCGTACTACAAGAAATACCATGATAGAAAGGTATGTGCTGTATTGGGAACTTACAAGGCCGCAGAAAGGACGATGCTCTTCCTGCAGGGTGAATATTGTGGTAACTTACCTATAAACTGGCTAGCTCTCCATTAAACCCTAAAACCATGAAATACCATGATAGAGGGGTATGTGCTGTATTGGGAACTTACAAGGCCGCAGAAAGGACGATGCTCTTCCTGCAGGGTGAATATTGTGGTAACTTACCTATAAACTGGCTAGTTCTCCATTAAACCCTAAAACGTTCGTTTGGGCCAGAGTAGCTGTTGTTGGAGGCACCACAGTAAATTTATTTGGTTCTCTCAAATTGATATGAAATTCACATCTTTCTGTTCTTATGTAGTTAATTGTAAATGATGTGCTTCTGACCTTCTACTACCTCATTAATTTTGGAATATTCTTATTGCTGACTTTTTCTTTCAGTATTGGTAATCAGAGCCTGCTACGTTCTGTTATGAGTGTGCCACATATTTTTCTTTATTAAGTACGATGAAGACTGCTTCTTTGATTTTCATGAAAATCGATAATATTTTTTTAGATCTTTTTAACAGGTTTTTCTTCCTTAAATGACTTTTCGTTGGAATAGGTATTTTGGGGTATATTATATGATTTTCGGCTGATTTAATTATTTGTTTTTTGGTATACTCCATTCCACGAATATACGACTGTTTTAAATTCGCTTTAAGGTGTCGACTTAAGTGGTCCAATGTGCTGAATTGTACAATGGTAAATTCTCCCCATTTTTAAAATACTGTTATGACAGATATACACCTTAGATTTAAATATGAAGTTATGATCTAAATATAGAATTGATAGTTTATAGAATAGTTGTAATTCAGATTTTGACGTATACTCGTATAATTACTCTCATTGACTTTAGTATTGTAAACAAGTTGGTTTTTGAATTAAGTGATTTAAACGAAGTGTAACAATACTTAAGTGATTAAATACTTTAATTTATTTAGTCGAATATTCAATTAGTATTAAAAAATCAAAAAAACTTACTCTTACTCTTATTCTCCTAATCACCATTACAAACAAATACACTACACTAAACTCTCTCTTAACGGACACGTCTCTTCACCGGACACCTCTATACGGACTGTTTTTAAAACTAAAATCAGTCGGCGATTTATGAAACTGTATGTAAATTTTCGTTACTTTTTAATATCTGTAATGACTCGATACTTTAACTATCAATAGCCGCCATGTTATACCCGTTACTTTCGGAACTTTTAAGAGTATATTCACTCAAAGCAAACAAAAAACTAACAAAGTGGAATACTAGATTCTTTTCATGGTTTCTAAACCATCGTTCTGCCAATTTCTTTTTATTTATATTAAAAATATATTTCTTTTTATAACCGTTGTAGTACCTACCTAATAAAGTAATAAAGATACCCGGCGCGCCCCTTTGGTGTTTACATTTCACCGAAATCCAACCCAAATGGCTGATGAACACATTTTAACTTCATAGAGGTCATTGTATTTACCTATTTGTAGGAGCGTTTACGTAAATTTTTTTGTTATTTTCAGATTAATTTTCACGATAAATTTTGCGTCTATCTGAACATCTACTAACTGAAATACCTAATTTTAGTTTATAATATGTAATAGTAAGAGAAGATCCTTTTTTATGGAATAATAATTAGACCAATTTACTTTCATACTTCTACTTGTACAGTAAAATATTCGTTGTAGCAATAATTCCAAACAGTCGTATATTCGTGGAATAACCTATAGTTAGGTTGTGGTTTAAGTGATAATTTAAATACAGTGTGTTTCTTTTCATTTTTTTGTTAAGAGGTCACGATGCTCAAGATAATTTGACCTTTTGTAGAAGATACAAGATAATCCTTGTAACCGTAAAAGGTAGTAAAGGTCAGTTTTTTCCACCCTAGAAGTGGAACGATACATAAATTAGGGACGTAAAGTAGGCACAAATGATATCATCATTTATTTTTAAATTTGTCTTATTTAAGGTTTAACAATGTATAAATATAAATAAAAAATATAAACTAAACTTTCTTCCTTTTCTCAAATTTTTAGTTTAGCTCTGCACTGGTTCCATTTATTGCGTGCTACGAAGATTTAATTTCGTTCAAGAATTTGTTGAACACTTCTTGTGAATTTGGTTCAAAATGTTTTTCTATTAGTTCTTCTGTTACGTCGATCAGATTGGGTGGATCCCATTTGGGAGTGTCATTTTTATCTTGTAGGACAATTCGTGTACCTAGAAAAAAAATTAGTTAGGAACAAGACAGACTACATTATGATGATATTGTAATGGTATTAAAGCCGTGAAAGCATATCTCGGAGTAGACATGGCCTCATAGCATAACTCACTTATCGCCAGGATTACACTCAGACTTATAAACAGAAGATGGCAAAAAATCCTCGACGTAAAAAAATGCCTCTAATACGAACTGCATACTACATGAACTGTAGCACACTTAATATGGACACTAATAATATTGACGAGCTATGGGATCAACTAAAACATTGTCTACTGTAACCGTGCAAAGAAATGTTCCTTAAGAAAGAAAAGAGGAGAAGGTGAATGATAAGATACTCAATATGATGAAACAATGCAGTTGCGCACTCAGGAGGGTTTTGGGGGTTAACCCCCCCCCCCCCAGACCCTATTCCGACACTGTTATTTACAAATTTTAAGAACTTAAAATGGTGGAGGTAGCATAAAAAAATACGGTGCTCAATACTTTGAAGAGAGATCGAGGACCTCCTAAAAAGAAAGATCTATGAATCTACACAAGAAAGTTAAAAATGGCAGGACTATTAGGATTGCTATAATACATAAGAATGACAATGTTGGGCACAATACATCGAAGAACTGTTCGATGATGACAGAGATAATATGGAACACATCAAACTTACTTCAGGAGAAATATTACAGATATTACAAAAGAAGCAGAAGCAGTCCAGATATTACACGCAATAAAAAGAATGAAGGGTGGGAAAAGCCCTGAACCAGACATGTTTCCTACCGAAAGACTAAAAATTATAGATGAAAAGCACATTGATGTTTTAGTGACAATCTTGAACCAAATTTACAGTTCAGGCTTACACTTAGGGTATTGGTTCGACAGAATATTTCAACACAAAAACAAAAATATTAACAAAGAATCATGTTGTAATGCAGGTTAAAGAAGTTAAAGAACATATTTGAAATTTGTCTGTATCGCTGTGTTGATTTTGATATTTTCACTGATTTATACAAGAAAACAAAGCACTAAACCTACCAATTTTCACAAGCAAGATGAATCGCTGCGCAACTTTTTGCATTTGATTCAAGAAAGTTTCCGGAAAGTTTATGAACACAATTTATGGTGATAAAAATGAAAATTGCTGTGTGTGCATAAAGAAAATTCATTTCCAAAGTACATAATGGATGAAAAATTTAAAATTAAGAACTCCTAGAGTCATTACTCGTAAGTTTTCGAGGTCACTGAATACAACTATGGTAACAAATATACTATCTGGTGCCTAGGGTGGACCTCGTCTACTGGAGTTTTATATTTTCATTCGGAATGATGATTGTCTAGCTACCTTGCGCTCAGGGTGATCCTTCCCTACTGAAGCTTTGAGTTATTTTTGCTTTTATTGCAAAATTCATTGCTCGGTGTGTTTAGAGATCGATTAACACAAATACTATGACTGCGATAATCCTCGAGCTACCTGGAGCTCCGTGGAGCTGGAGTGTTATGTTATTTTTATTCGAAAGCAGTCATAAGTCATTACTCGCGGGTTTTTGGCGATATACGACAAACACTACGACGGCAATAGTCTCCAAGGTATCTGGTGCCCAGCGTGGACCTGATCTCATACAGCCTTCCAATATTTTTACTCTAAAAGTCTAGTAAAAAAAAATGATTAACAAATAATCGTATTATTCACATTTATTTCTTCCTTATCTTCTTATGTATCAGGTAATTGATTTTCTAGAGTTCTTCATATTCGTGCAATTGCTGTTGGTACAATTTTTGCGTGCCCAATTGCAAACCAGGTCATTCCTTCTACATCTACATTTTTATATAAAAACAGTGATTTTCGTTATAATTCGAGATCGAGCGAGGAGAATAAAATGCATTTTAACTATGTAACTTGAAGTATATCGGTGTACCAGTACAGGAGAGAATAACTATAGAAGCACATGTGAAGATAAAAAGAGGGAGCTGTTATAGGGGATTATAATAAGTATCACCTTGCACTTTACCAGTGCTACCAACTGCGTAAAAGCTCCGAATTTAAAAAATAATGTTTTGAAAAATCTTTGGATGATTATATAAAGTTGTGTATGTTATACTGAGGTCATTTATCAACGACACATTTATGTTCAGCGACCTAGAAAATCCCCAAGTATTCATTGTCGACTGATTTAGAAGGAAATTAACGTGAAATTCCAGGAGATGTGGTCACCCTCGGCACCAGATAACTCGGAGACAATCGCCGTCGTAATATTCATGTTCAGCAATCCCAAAAATTCCCGAATTACTTTTGACTGATGTAGAATAATAATAACATAAAACTACAAGCAACGAAGACCACCCTCCACCAGATAGGTCGAGGACTATCGCTGTCATAATATTCATATTCACTGACCTCGACAAACCCCAAGTAATCACTTTCGACTAATTTCAAATGAAAATAACATAAAAATCCAGCAGACAAGGTCCACCCTGGGCACCAGATAGCTCAAGGGTCATCGCCGTCACAAAATTCGTGTTCAGTTACCTTGAAAAACCCCTAAGTAACGACATTCGATTGATTTCGAATAAAAATAACATAAAACTCTAGGAGACGAGGTCCACTCTGGGCATAGGGTATCTTGAGGACCAGCGTCATTATCATAGCGGAGTTGCAATTTTTTCATTTTTTATATACCTAGGAAATGTATTTTCCTCATGCCCAAAATGCTATTTTAATTTTACCACCATCAACTTTACTGACACTTTTACCAATCGAATGCAAAAAGTTGCACAGCGACTGATCTTGCTGCGTCAAATTGGTACGTTTAGTGCTTTATGTCTTCGCCTATGTCTTTTTATATGTATACACTGAGTGGCTTTCTTTCAAATATTTAGTTTGACTAGTAGGGGAAGTGTGCACATAATGGACTTCCTGCTCTCAATTTCATTTCAAATATGGCGCGGTTACATGCACATGGTCGGCACATTGCCGTTTGCGCACAAAGTTTGTAGTTTAGTATTTGCAAAGTTTCAGACCCGTGGCGGTTATAACAGTAAATTTTTGAAATAAAATTAAAATTTGGCGTTGCTAATCAAATAAGGTTATATTGGTAAGTAATATTTTACTGGTAACATACGTTAAGCTAAGTGTTGCTTCTGTTTTGTATAAAATGACTACACTTTCTTTGTCAAATACTACACTTTGTTTTAGGTTAGAATGGTCAAAACAAAAGTAATAGAATTAAATTTACTGTCTTGTCTAATTGCCTATGATGGATCCCTTTGTCACTATCTATGACGGACTAGGGGTGCATCATAGGAAAAAGGAAATAAGTTGCTACTTAAAGATTCAAATAATCTATTTTACAGGGATGGATCCTCATAAAAGGCAACAGTGGAATGACTAATATGCAGCAAGCTTCCAAAAAGACTTTGAAAAGGTGCTTTAATAAACAAGGTAGTACCGAAGGTGATTGGGAGGACGAAGACCAATATTTTCCAATATCGAAAAGGAAACTACTGACCATATTATCACCATGGAAGCTCATTTTTTTGGCCTGACCAGTAAAGATTTATCAAAACTTGTATACGAAGTAGATAAAAGAAACAGTATTAGCCACAGTTTAAATAAGGAAACCAAGATGACAGGCTGGAAATCGGTCAGAGGCTTTTTAAAGCAAGGCAAGGGCTCAAGCATTTAACAAACCAAATATGTGTGCCTATTTTACAGCATTAGCACATAATATTAGACGAGTTTCAATTTCCACCGAAAAACATTTATAACATGGACGAGTTTGACAACTGTGCAAAAGAGATCGCAGAAGATTTATGCTAATAAAGGTCGAAAACAAGTTGGTGCTTTAGGTAGTGCAGAGCGCGATCTATATGTGACGGTAGTATGTGCAATGAATGCAATTGAAACATATGTTCTTTCTGCTTTGATTTTTCCTCGACAGAGAAAGAAAGACGAACTTATGATCGATGCACCTACTGGAAGTGTAGCCTTCGCTCAATAAAAAGGATGAATGACTTCCGACATTTTCTGTCTCTGGATGCAACATTTTTTAAGGTATTTAAAGGCTTCTAAAACTAACCAAGATTTGTTGTTTCTCGATGGTCGTGGTAGTTATAAAAGTTTTGAAGCTCTCCAGTTTGCAAAAGAAAACGGTATTATTATGTTTTGTTTTCCTGTTCACTGCTCTCATCACGTTCAACCCTTGGACATAGGATTTTTTAGACCACTTAAAACTTACCACGGCCAAGAAATTTAATTATGGCTGCGACAGAATCCAGGTAAAACATTTACCCAATTGAAAGTAGCCAGTATCTTTAATAGAGCCTATTTAAAAACTGCTCTTCCATCAAATGCAATAAATCCATTTAAAAAGACAGGAATAGAACCGTTCAATAAAGATGTCTTCGAGGATTGGCAATTTTTGCCATCTATAACAACAGATAGAGAAAATTATGAACAAAACCCACTACCAGGATGTTCTGACGAGAACTCACTACCGGAACATCGGAACCAAAATATTTTCTTCGATTTAAGGTTTATCAAAAATCACTGATCAGAAATCAACATCATCGTCAGTCCTAAACATCTCGGTCGAAGATATTTGTCCTCCTTCTTTAGCTGGAGTATCTGAAGTAACTCATAAAAGAGGTAGAAAACGGGGTAAAACAGGATATTTAAATTCAACGCCAGAAATTGATAATATAAAACAAAAAATTGCAGAAAAAGACGGAAAAAAGAGAAAACTGGACACAAGAAAAGTAAAAAGGTAAGTTCGCGTTTCAACTACAAACAGTTCTGAAGACGATTGTGAATCTTATTTTGAAAAAAACGACTCGGACGATGCAGCTTCTATTTACTGTTATAAACTGTTTTTGCATTCACGATCCAAAGAAAAATGGATTCGTTGTCAAGTGTGTAAGAATTGGTGTCACAATAAATGTGCAGATGTAAATCCTGGCATTAAATGTGCAGCTAAATGTGCATGTAACTTTTTTTTTATAAATACCTATTTGTAATATTATTTATCGATGTAATATCTTACATTTACGATGTAAAAAAGTTGTACAGTCAGCCAAGACCCACCCAGGGTTGGGTCTTGGCTGACTTGGCTGACCACCCAGCACTACGTGATGATGATAATATAAAATAATTTGGTATTTACTTATTTTATACAATATGCAACAGGTCCATCATGGGCGTATCAAAGGGTCCATCATGAGCGCATATATGCCCATGATGGAGCCTTAACAGGAATTTAGTAAACTATGAATAACTTTTGTCATCTTAATGTTTATCAAAATTTGAAACATTTGCATATAATGCAAATAAAGAGGTGTTATATGGTCATATTTAAAGCATGCTAAGTAAATAATTAAAATTATTACGGAGCTTTTTCCTTAAGGGATCCATCATAGGCACATTTCCCCTACGTAATAAGCCGAATTCCACATTTCTTTTGGATTAACTGAGGATGATTCTTAGGCGAATGGAATAAGCAGCTTCATTCAACAAATAAGGAGAAAAGTAGTATGTTGGTAATTTAACAGATTATAATATTATTTGCCTTAATCGACAATAATCATTCGAAGGAGAACCAATTTATCGATAAAGTATATATTATCAAATGAAGAAGATAATAATGAAAACAAAAACATGTACCTACCTTCATATGTATCTTTGAATTTGTAAAAGTTTACAGTTAAATTATACTCCATGTGTAAACATTCCAACCAACTCATACTTTTACCCTTCTGCAATTGTTTTAATATCACTTTTAAGCTGCTTGGGGAGTATTTTTCCATTATATTAAGAGTATCTCTAGCCCATGGCGATCCATCATCCTTTAATTTAGCAAAAATACTTTCTACAGTTGGTTCCGAGAAGCATTTATTTATCTTGTCCATTACAGGTTGTAAAGTTAACTCTGGAATATCTTTTTGGCAGAATTTGTCAAGCACTGCGTTAATGTTTTTATCACAGGAACATTGTAAAAGCTCCTCTTCGAGCGTAGGCAAGTCGCTTTGGTTGCAATAATGAGTAGCAAACCCTGCCCTCAATACGTCTGTTCCGGTTATTGTACTGCCTGTTAAAGCTAGGTAAAATCCTAGTTGTCCAATGGTGCGGTTGAAGAAGTAGCTAGCAGAAGCATTAGGAAGAAACCCTACCTTCACCTCCGGCATTGCAAATTTTGTTTTATCGGTAGCTACACGGAATCTACAACTAACTGAATATCCAGCACCTGCACCCATTGTTATTCCATTCATGAAAGTAATAATAGGTATTTTATAGTTTCTAAGAAGATGCAGATTGGCATTGAGATAGAAACCCATGTCGTTAACATACACCCAATCTTTTGTTAAAGCTGCCTTTTTAAGAAGCACTAGGTCTCCACCAGAACTAAACGCTCGATCTCCTGCACCTTTAAGAACGATCAGTGATTTTTTGTTTTGTAAGTCCATGAGTGTTTTGTACACATTTCGTTGTAGATCCACATTCATTGAGTTTAATACTTTGGGCCTATTTAATGTAACTACTGCATTTTTTCCCACTTCTCTGGTCAATACTGATTGAGTAGAACATTTTCGTGAAGTAGTCAGTGTAGGTCTTCGAAATAGTCGTACAAATAGGCAACTAGGCAACTAAAATACAAAAATTAAAATAATGAAAAGAATGATATATGTTAAATATGATTAGGGTAAATTGTGCAAATACCGGTCAGTGGGTAATGGCGGTCATCCTGATTGTGCGAAATCTATTCAATCTGGCAACCTCCTATAACTGTCAACGTTTATCTACACTACTCTGTATTCAGATTGCCGACGAGCGTTGAGTTGGCACATACCATTGTCATAGAAATATTATCAACCTGTTTTCAGTGTTTTCGATCTTATTTTTATGGTGAGGAATATAAGACCTTAATTCATTTTTAGTCACTTGAAAATCTTAAAATTGGTTACAATTGATTATAATGATATTCGCTGCCTATTCCTTTTTTAAAGATCAATAATTTAATACATGTTTACGAGAAGAAAATTTTAAGAAAAAAATGTCAACAGGAGGCTATGCTGGTCAGTTGACCGGTATTACCCCCATGCTAACTTACTTTAATTTACAGTTTGTACTATTAATCCTTAGGGAATTTTTATGTTTAAGATGACAATGAATCGAAAAACGACTTGTAAAGCAAAACGAAGTCAACAGAATTTAGAAAAAGCTATTTTAACTTATCGAAATGGTGAAATGACTATGCGAAAAGTAGCAAAACCATATGCCATCCCTTTTTCGACATTGCAAGAAAGAAAAAAAATAAAAATCTTCAAGGTGTCAGTTTTCTGTCGAATAAGAAGCTGAAATAGCCACACAAATAAAATATTTAGCTTCTATTTTTTATGGCGTAACAGCAAAAGAACTACGAAAATTAGCATTTGAGTTTGCTAAGAGAAACAGTATTAAACATAATTTTAACGTCTGGTTAGGATTAGCTGGTGTCGAGTGGTTACGAAGTTTTCTTCGCAGAAATCCAACAGTATCCATACGCAAAGCAGAAGGTACGTGTCTAAATAGATTAACAGCTTTTATTAACCTTCCAGTACACGCGCGGATTGCATACGTAATCCATTGAATTTTATAAAATTGCTATTCGGACCATATTGTATATAGAGTTGCCTATCTTCCAATACCTTCGGGGCATAGTATAAGGAAAGGAACAAGGCTGCCAGGTCTAGGGATTTATCCCGAATCTAGGGATATTTCAGCATAAAAGGGACAAAGGGATTTTTTTGATATTTATTGTAAAATCTAGGGATTTTTGACCGGCTCAAATATTTACCTACATAGGCCTATTATAACAACATTTTCTTTAATTCAGGTATAAAACCACTTCGTATTAACAGTATTAAATAAGCGATCTTTAATTACAAATACTTAAACTAATAAAGGATTCTATTATCAGATGTCGCTAACTGTCCACGTTCTTGGAATCTTTATTTTATGCTACCAAATAGATTTCTGCCAAAAATAAAATCCTATATATTTTCATAAAGGAGAAGCAAATTCTGGAGCAGGAATTAGGGGATTTACAAAAATCTTAGGTTTTTATAAAATAAATAATTAGGGGATTTACAGTAGGAATCGGGTGAATCCCAGGATTCGTGGAAATATACAAATAAAATTCTATGCTACACCATCTCGTTTCTCTTCAAGTTGTATTTTGTATTAATTTTATTAAGTGAATAATACTTAATAATATATTAAATGGAATATTCAAAGTTATAAATAAGTACGTTATTCTGTTTTTGTTAAATTTATTCAAATCATCGCTATTATACCGTTTAAAAATGAAATACTTTTGAAATAAAGGTATAAAACAACAATTATTTTTTTAGGTTGAGTTTATCGAAAGCACAAGCTGAATATAGCCGCAAATGTCAAAAATATTTCGGCTTGGCAGTGTTGGCATGTTTTTATAATGCATATATTGTATGCTTCAAATATAAAGAGATAAAGCTGTTAAAAAGTATATTTTGATTATACTATTTTATGATATGATATTTATGATTTATATTTGTCTCTTTCGAGATTAAGTGCAAACATATGTTGTAATCTGGCAACTGCTGATTTGAAGAATGCCAAATTTATACCCTAATCTACCAAAGTCTAATTGCTAAAAAAATTCTAATAATTAACTGCAATTAATCTTCAAAGAAACAAATATTTACACAGCATCTACATTATAAAAGCATGTCAACACTGCTATACCGAAATTTTTTGTTCCATGTTTGACATTTGTGGCTATAATCAGCTTGTACTTTCGGTAAATTCTACCTTTTTTTAATTCCATGTTATTATATTAGGCAACCATCAATACATTCCATCATTTTATTCAGAATTAGGCAACCATATATACATTTATTCCAATCTAGGGATTTGTAGGGACATTTTAATGTTCAATTTAGGGAGGACAAAAATTTTCACCTGGCAACCCTGGAAAGGAACTGTTTTAGTATGCGACTGTCGCTTGATCTGTGTAGGTGTAAGACGTAGATTGTGTTCTGTTACCATTGTAATCTACTCGTGTACTTACGTAACCCTAAACTAAAAATTATATTTTGTATTCGGCGGTTAAGGTAAGTTTTCTACGTGAAAAAGAGTAACAAATGTTTATTTTTTATTTTTGTTTTAGTTATCAGCAATGTCCCGACCAAAAAAAGTAAGATTCGGCGACCCTAATTTTGAAAAAATGCTAATGGAATGGAACAATGAAATAGAGAACGAACAGGAGCCGAATATAGATGGTAGTGATGACGACAGCTGCTCAGATGACTATATTGTTGAGGAATATGTATCTGATGATGTTGTAGAACAAGAATGTACCATGTCTGAACAAGAATCGGAACAAGACTGTGATGAAGAGGTTCAAGGGGAAGAAGATGAAGAAAAAATAATTTCAAAATACTATCTTGGCAAAGACAAAAAAACAAAGTGGAGTAAGATGTGTCCTGCGCCTACTTCAAGAACTCGTGCAACAAATATTGTTTTGAAGTTACCAGGACCAATAACAGAAGCTCGAAACGCAAAAACACAGTTTGAATGCTTCAAATGCTAATGATAATATAGTCAAAGAAGTTACGCGTTGTACTAACATTTATATTGAGAAGGTAAGAGCAAATTTCCAACGCTACAGAGATGCTAAAATGACCGACGTCGAAGAGATTTGGGGACTTATTGGTATACTCTTTTTAGCAGGTGTTCTAAAATCTGGAAGACTAAATGTTTTGCAAATGTGGGATAATAAGAAAGGTACTGGTGTTGAAGCTATTTACTTGACAATGTCTTTAAATCGTTTCCGATTTCTACTGAGATGTTTGAGGTTTGACGACTTTAATTCTAGACAACAAAGGAGAGAGCTGGATAAACTTGCTCCTATACGAGACATTTTTGGACTTTTTATTGAAAATTTTCAAAAAAATTTTACACCTTCAGAATATTTAACACTTGACGAGCAATTACTTGCTTTTAGGGGAAAATGTCAATTCCGTCAATACATGCCCAGTAAACCATCCAAATATGGTATAAAAATATTTGCGTTAGTAGATAGCAAATATGCATATACCTATAATATGGAGATTTACTGTGGAACACAACCAACTGGTCCTTTTGAAACTGATTGGAGTAGCGCAGAGGTTGTTAAAAGAATGGTTAAACCCCTAGAAGGAACGGGCAGAAATATAACCATGGATAACTGGTTTACCAGTATACCTTTGGCCATGGACTTGCTTCAAAAGCGATTAACTATTATTGGTACGATTCGTAAAAATAAGAGGGAGCTACCACAAGAATTTATAACGTCTAAAAACAGAGACATACATTCTTCACTATTCGGATTCCTCCAAGAAAAATGTACGTTGGTAACGTACGTTCCAAAAAAAATAAGGTCGTATTAGCTGTTTCAACCATGCACCATGATAGCAGTATTAATCCTGAAACAGAAGACAAGAACAAACCCGAAATAATAACGGATTACAATAAAACAAAATTTGGTGTGGATCTGGTTGACCAGTTGTGTGCACAATATGATGTTTCCCGAAACTCTCGGCGTTGGCCACTCCCCGTGTTCTTTGATTTATTAAATATATCAGGAATTAATGCATTTTCCCTGTATAAGGCTAATAATGTCACTGCATCACTTCCAAGAAGCACATTTCTTCAGGACATTTCGTTTGAGTTAATAAAACCACTAATGTTAAGGCGACTAGAGAACACTGACACATCAACAGAAATAAAAAAAAATTAAATTTCTTTTAAAAATAAATAAGGAAACTCCTAAAGAAGTTCCGACTCGCTCTTCGGCCCTTGGGCGTTGTCATATTTGTGGACGAGCAAGGAATACGAGCACAAGAAAATGGTGCAGCAGCTGTGATCAGTGGACTTGCCCTGGACATTTAAAGCAAATATGTGTACATTGTGCTGAGATAAAACAAAATATGCAGTCTGAATCAGATTAAGATATTGTATTTAGGATATTATAGAACGTAGTTTGGTTTGTAATGTTTGGTTATAGGTAACTTTGATTTATAGTATTTCTTTTTTCATTTTCATTGTTTTTCGATTTTTTTTTATTTAATGTATATTTTACTTATAAAATAAAGCCAATTATAGGTTACAGTGGTATTATTAAAAAATTATTAAAACAATATCACTATTTTCAAAAAATATTGCTTTTCCAGAGCTCCAGTGCATATGGATTACTAATGTAATCCACGCGTGTAGTCACGTAAAAAAATAGGGCGCGTGTACTGGAGGGTTAAAGAAGAAGTGAACCTGTTTTTTAAGCTATTAGAAAGTTTAATGACAAAATATCAATTTGGTCCAATACAAATATACAATGCCGATGAGACGGGAATTAGTACAGTTCAGGATCCTGGAAAAATTTTAGCTACCAAAGGCCATAAAAAGGTGGGCTTTTCAACTAGTGGAGAGAGGGCTAGAAACATCACAGTTATGTGTGCCGTGAATGCCGCTGGGGAATCAATTCCACCCATGTTTATTTTTCCGCGAAAGCGACTGACACCTCTTTTAAAAAAAGATGGACCTCTGGAGGCATTATATAAATGTTCAAATAATGGTTGGATTGATGACG